AAAAGTAAGGGTGAAAAGCAGGAAATTTAGCTGAGATGAACTCTTATGAATTTCACACAATTTTTTCACCCTTCCCCTCCCCCCTTTCTTTTCCAGCTCTAGTTTTTCAGTTTTTCCATCCATCTATTTTCAACAGCTGATTACAGAAATATCCCATTACAAGACAGTATTCCAGAATCTTGCAAAAAATCCCACCACAGAGAGCAAACAGTCACTAAAACTAAATACTGAACAGATTTTGGGCTGTAGATACACCCAAGGGACTTGATGAAGGTTTGGATCTTGGAAGAAGCCAGCTGAGAGAAACTACTGATCCATTTTTAAGTGCTCAGTGCTACTACACAGAGATGCTTGGTTTAGCAAGGAGCCCTAGGGACTGGTCGCCCAAATGAAGTCCCATCCAGATGTTTGTTATACACTACATTGCCAAAGGTCCCCTGGAAGAAATTATCTATTCAGGATCATGGGGAGAAAAAGGGAGGGAGAGAAGAGGAAATGTCTGCTGAGCACACACACACAAATAAGAAGAAAAGCACTGGCTGAATTCCAGAAATGAAAATCTGGTCCCACTGAGGTAGGTGGGAGCTTTGCCACCAGATTTCAATGGAAACAGAATTTCACCCAGTGTTAACAGTGCTTTGGAAATATCCTCCCTCCAGACACACTGTGGGAGCTCTTCTGGCTCTGAACACTCACTGGAAACACAGAAAAGGAAATTAAACCAAACACAAGACAACAATATCAGAATGATTAATCAACAAACACAAAGGATGCAGTAACGATTAAGCACAAGGTACTGCAGAAGTGGGTGGAAAGAAGGTGGCAAGTCCTTTACCTCCTGGACCGTGGAACTTTGCCAGGAAAAGCAGGGATGCAAGGACTCATAGTGCTGGTTACAGGGTGCCACGTCAAGGCTGCACTGAAGGCAGTCTGAACGGATTCAATAACAAAAGGAAGAGAAACTACTAGCACAGACTCGGCCTTGGAGTATGCTCCCCTCACTAATGCTAGAGATGCCAGAACCTAGCAGCTTCAGCAGAGATTCCAAGGAGCAATCAGCGTCATTGCTTACACATTCCCAGGCAGGATAGTTCACAGAAAGGGCACACTCAGCAAGCTCTGCAGTTGTGTAACTGTGAGCGTTCTGCAAACAAGAAATACAGTGCCTGGACACAATAAATAGGCACAATGCCTAAGAAGCCCCATCTATATGACAGCTGTGGCCCAGTTATTTAGCCTACAGTTGCCCTCTGATTTAGTTAGCCTTTGGTTTCATATCACAACTATACAGTGATCCTGGAATCACAGAATCATAGAATGATCAAGGTTGGAAAATACCCTCAATATCAAGTCCAACACCAAATACCACGTCTACCTGTTTTTTGGATACCTCCAGGGATGGTGGCTCCACCACCTCCCTGGGCAGCTCCAGTACCTCCCCACCCTAACAGTAAAGAATTTCTTCCTAATGACTAACCTAAATCTACCCTCTTCCAGTTTAAAACCATTACCCCTTGTCCTGTCGCTACACATCCCGGCATAAAATCCCTCCCCAGCTTTCCTATAGATCCTCTTCAGATCATCTTCATGGCCCTTCTCTGGACTCGCTCCAAGAGTTCAATGTCGTTCTCGTGTTGAGGGCTCCAGAGCTGGACACAGCCTTCCAGGTGGGCTCTCATGAGTGCAGAGTAGAGGGGCAGGATCACCTCCCTCGACCTCCTGGCCACACTTCTTTTGATGCAGCTCAAGATGCGGCTGGGCTTCTGGGCTGTGAGTGCACATGTGAGTGCACAGGGAGGATCACCTCCTTGGTCCTGCTGGTCACACTATTCCTGATGCAGGCCAGGATGCTGTTGGGCTGCTTGGCTACCTGTGCACACTGCTGGCTCATGTTCAGCCAGCTGTCAGTCAGCACCCCCAGGTGCTAGGCCCTGCTGGGCAGCTCTCCAGCCACTCCTTCCCAAGCCTGCAGCGCTGCCGGGGGTTGTTGTGGCCCAAGTGCAGGACCCAACATTTGGCCTTACTGAAACTCCTACAATTGACCTCAGCCCATCAATCAAGACTGTCCAGATCCCTCTGAAGAGCCTCCCTACCCTCGAGCAGATCAACACTCCCACCCGGCTCAGTGTCATCTGCAAACTTACTGAGAGTGCACTCAATCCTCTCATCCAAATCATCAATGAAGATGTTAAACAGGAGCAGCCCCAGCACTGAGCCCTGGGAAACACCACTCCTGACCGGCCACCAACTGGATTTAACTCCACTCAGCACAACTCTTTGGGCCCGGCCATCCAACACAAAAAGGGACCAAGTGCCTGTTTCTGGGAACTACTTCAAATTGCATCACTTTGGATGTGCTGATGGCAGCATGTAAACTTGCACAGCTACCACTGACTAATATTCAAGTAGTGTATTTCACTTTGATATGAGAAATCCAGATGAAAATTCATGTCTACGTATCAATGATAGGTAAGTGACAATAGCTAACTAAGCATTAAACCAGAGTTCCCTAAGTGACTGTGTGTGACACAGGCACAGCACAGTCAGGCACACACCAGGGGTCTTGAAGCTCCAAAGGTCCTATGAGCTTTTCTCAGGATTTGTCCTTCCTCACAGAACAACTATTTTGTTGGTTTTGTTTTTAGCAGAGGGTCTCTGGCCACTCCTGTGATGCTGTGAGGCTCACAACTTTCACAAAGCTCAGATCATCTGCCAGTCTCCCCTCCCTGCTTTCTTCTCCCTCTCTCTCTCTCACATAACTAGGGAAAAACCCTTCTCACAGTCCTTCCCCAGATGATGTAGGCAGCCTCTTCAGGTGATGGAGATCTCCTGAAGCTCCATCATCATTACCCATGTGCCTGGACAGACCACTGGTCTTGGTGCAAGTTCCTTGTCTGTGGGCTCTGCTTGCAACCCTTATGATTTCCCAGTGTTAGCGACTATTGCCCAATGTCATTGAAAGTAAGGGGAAAAATGGAAGGTGTGAAGGTAAAACAAAGCATCTTTGCAGTACCTCTCAGAACAAGGTTTTCACTCAGTAACTTGGCTGGCAACTTAGAAAATGAAGAACAAATATGTTTGGACTGTTGCCGATCCTTCTGCAGACTCTGGAAACAAAACTGGAGGGGAAGGGAGTGCCTGGAGAGTTACTGAGCTCTTGTGCTCCCTGGCTGCCTCCACACCATTGTTACCCCTGATGACAAACCAGAAGAACTGCTTCTGGGTGTGCTAAAATACTGGAATGAAAAGCATGGACTACCCTGGGTGCTGGGCTTTGCACCAGGCTGCTGGTTCTTCTCAACATGTGCCAAGCAGCTGTGGGTGTAATGGGCACACCAGGACCCTCTTTCACAACTTTAATAGTTGTCCTTATAAAGAACACCAGGACAAGGACAAGTATTTCCCAGAGGAGCTACTCACTTCAGGAGTGTGAAAACGGCACAGTAGAGACCAGCGACTAGCCCAGTCTTTAGTTACATTATAGTGTCATGAGGTAACATCTTTCCTTCATGGTTTGAATCAGTCTCAAATACATTTAAAAGCAATTACTGGAAGGAAAAATGTAACATCTTGTTTTGAACAGTTCTTGCCATCACTCAAAGAGGCTTGGGAAAGTCATATGCCAGGATGGCCATGAATGACACTTGGGCCTACAACCTTCCTGCTCACCTCTTGCTAGATCCAGGACTTAAGACCACAGTAGGCACCAAACCTGAAATTGGTACCTAACACACAAAGGGAGAACTTAAAAACTCACTGCTGGTTCCCCCATGGCTAAGGTTGCAAGTCCAGTGTTTCTGGAAACTTTTTCACTGCCATGACACTGGTTGCAATATGACGGAAAATGTGATTACCAAGTGTCTCCACTAATGTAAAATAAAATTCCGCCTAGTCCCCTCATCTGTCTCCTAACTTTCACACATCTTATGATTACTTGCCTTCTTTTTCATGCCCTGGCCCAGAACAGCATCTAGAAATAGTTAATTTTTTCCAGAAGCTATGCTGGCTCTATACACAAACCTGTGTTTTATCACAGTCTTCTACCTCCCCTCAAATATATCTGATGATTTTCTTCAGTAGTCTTGTCAATACTAATATACCAACTGGAATAAAGCAGATACATATTTTCTACCGATATGCTATTTTACCTAAAAATGAGATTTTTAGAGTAGTACAATCCTCACACAAAACAGCTGACAACATTATTTTTAAACTGTGGGAAGTAGATTTTCAAAAAAGAACATTTTTAGAAACAGAGAGGCATGCAGACATTGAGTTACTGGTTCAATGGTGCCCATAAACAAGTGAAAACTAAACACATTGAAAAAAAATTTTCCTCTTTTGTACAAATTAGCAGTGTTATTTCACTTCTCTCAGCTTTTCAAGCACTCTGTCCATCAATTCTACTGAAATGAGAAGTTCAAGTATGAATAACCAGACGAGCTTCAGTTGATGTAGAAAGATAAAGGAAAGGCAAAACCAGATTTCAACATCCTTTTTTTCTTGACAGTGACAGTGATTGCTGTGTATACTATTTATTTTATGATATACAGGTGAGAGTAACTTCCACAAAGTAACATGTAGCCCAGTTAGGAAAGGCAGGTCAAAACGGACATGCATCAATCTGCTTTGTGAAGAAGCCAGGTGATACATGGTGGGTTATTGTCATAAATGGCATCACTATAAACAATATCTGAAGATGACTGTAAGTTTCTATTGTTTTGTGTTGACAGAAATAGCTTGTTCTGACCACGCAGGGGACTCTGACTAGAGCTTGTTATTCAACATGCTGATTTGCACACAGGCTGGAAGTGTTTGCAGAACAAGGTAATATTTAAATGTACTTACCATATAGATTTCTGCTAGGCTTAAAGTAAGGCCATCGCTCCAGTGAAAATGCCCTCAAAGGCCATTCTGCCCATATTAGATATCAGTTTGTGATTCATTCGGCTTTCTAAACACTTATTTCAGTGCAAATTCTGCCAGAAAGAGGAACTTACTGCTTGTTGTGAAGTTACCCTCCCCGGCCTGGGGGAAGGAGTCTATATCTTGGATGACTTGTAGAACTCCCACAGTTCGCACCGGGGCATCCAGGGCTACAGAGCTCTCGTTCACTGTTATATCGCTGGCTCCCGTGATCTGATTGGTTGGTGGTCCTCCTATGGATGCTTCCAAGTCTGGAGGTATATCATCCATGCAATCTGCGTTTGGCTAATGGGAAGAAAAAGAAGAAATGTGAACTTCTACCTGATAAGAACATTTTGTTTACCCGCTCCCACTACTTTAGGATTTTTCATTTCCTTTCAGTACTGAAAATGGCAACATATGATGAATAAACACGTACAATTTGTTTGTTTTCAGGTACTTAAAACTTCTTAATAAAATTTGTTGAGAGACCCAAAGTATGCACTGCAAATATTCAATGCCAAACTGTGTTCCCTGCAATCTCTAAATATTCTTATTTGTCTTTTTTAGAGGTTTTGAGAGAGCGTACATTGAAAAGCTAACTCACTTATTGATATGATCTGCTTGACATAGGCAGACTGCTGAGTCAGATTACAAATGTAAATAGAGACAGTAGCTGAAGGGGAATGATTAACTTTTCCCTAAATAGACATTTTATAGAGCTGATATCAGAGCTTTCAGGAATAGGAAGTCAAAGGAACTGCCTGTGGGCGCATCTATGTGTGGGGTGCAAAAATAGAAGCTGAAGCTGTTTATAAGACAACTTTTTAAACATGAAAAGATCTTTTCCTTTACTAATGCTACATTTCCTACAGAATAAAATTACAGGAAAATAAATAAACAAGCAATGATGGGAATTTGAAAAGTAATATTAGATTCATAGTCTTTCTTGCTTTGAGATTCAGAGAGACCAAGGATGAAAGCCAATTCTGGGGATTTTAGACACTTCTCTCATGCAGTTACATCGTGAACGCACCAAGATCTACTGAATGAGCCAAGCTCTTCAAGTCAAGGGAGGCAACGAGATGGGGTAGTGGTGGCCACCTCTTGCACAGTCTCCTTAGCATTGAGCCCCTGTCTACAAAGAGCGCTGAGACTTCAAGTGGGCACTGGGTGGCAAAGAGGATTGTTTGTCCAGAGGCACTTTGTCCAAGACTAGTTTCTACCCTTCCTTCCTCTGGGCTTGTGATAAGCCTGATGCTCCCATTCACACAGCAATGATTTCCGTAGAGCTCCCCATAAACACTGGTGACAAGTATATGAGCAATAAAGCTCTTTTTCCTTTAAGAGGAAACAGATTCTTGTGTAGTTTGCCCATAGAACCAGATCTAGTTTTCCCTAAGGCACGGAGAAAAATTGTTTGTTCAACTATTTCAACAACAAGGGTTTCAAGTTTTAACACCTTGTAACAAAACCAAGGCTAATTCAGAAATGAGGATGTCGTGTGTCAGGGTGCAAAGCTTCCAAAACGACACAGCAAGGTTGAGCTGCAACTACATAGATAACTTTTTAAGTTAGGAAATGTCAAGTTACATTATTCCCATTAATCTTTATTGTCTATGAGTCAGACAGCTAATCTGGATCAGTCACTTAGCCTTCCTCGAACAGTTTGAGACAACTTCACTGTGTGATTCATCCCACCCTAAGGTAAGTGGTATGAATTGTACCCTCTGCCTTACCACTGCTCAGCACTAAGCAGAGATGGGGCTTAAGCTGCTAGACTGGAAATCCAACATCTGGATGGCTAGAGCAAGAGGGGATGTACTCTGCTCTGAGGATCTGATTTTTGCTATGCTTAGTTGTCTCACTTGCTAAGGCATTTTTTAAAATCGCACTACTTGCCTGTCTGCAACAGCAGGCACCCAGAAACTAAGCAAAATATGATACAGCAAAGACTTAAAAAGAGGCTTAGCTTTAAGCACAAGAGTAATCCCTTTGAACTCACGCATACAAGGTTACCATATGCTTACATTTTTTGCAAACCAGGGACTTCGCATGCTTTCTCTTTTCCCATGCATTGCCTGTCCGATTGTTGCCACCTCATAAATTTTTTTTTCACAAATATTCTTAACGAAAAAGGCAGGCATTTTAAACAATCCTCAGGTGACTTGTATCCACAAATGAAAGTTTGGGATAAAAATCAGAACTGTCATTTTCTGGCTCCAGTTTAATCCACAAACAATGAGAGCTCCTCAGAACTGGGATAAAGGTACATTCAACTATACCAAGTTTTAATGAAATCCACCAAACTCGCACTTTTCTAAGTGAAATACCAAACATTTATCTGCAGGATTTGGATCCAAAATGACTCCTTAGATCTATCTCTTTACCTCACCCGTAGCTCTTATAACAAATGGTTTTAGCATTTAATTTTTTACTTAAATTTGGCTTTGATGGCAGTGTATCTTAAAGAAAAAAAGGTCTGGTTTTTCTTTTCTGCTCTAGGAAAAACTGTTTTAGATTTTTTTCAGGACATCAGTTCTCTGTCCTTTTCTCTGATTCTAATTATTCCTAGAATGTGGTTTATCACTAACCTTTACACCTTTAAAAATGGAGGATTATAATTGAAAGCAAAACCAAATATAAAAGATGCAAAACTAGCATTGCCAGATACAATGAATCCTTTACTCCTGAATAAATGTAGTTGGAAAACTAAGCAACATACTATAAAACTAACGATATGAAATACTGATCGAAAAAACTACAGTATGGCTTTTGCTGTCAGAGTGACCCAGATACATTTTCTAAGTTTAATTATATTTGTTTCAGTCATTCCCTGTAAGTGCTTTGAGGGCACAATTCCACTGAAGTCAAGGGAAGGCTTTGTATAGACTTCTGAGGGCTTGGCTAAGGTTCTTAGTGAATAGCTTCAAGTCATGCAATCTGCTGCCAAAAATGCAGCTGACTGCATATCCAGCAGATACTTGCAGAAAAGAGGGAGAAGCTGAGAGAAACTATTTTATGTGATACAACCATCACAATAGCAATGTAGCTCTTTGAAAGTGAAAGACATTTTTTTCTGATAATTCACTTCAAATACTACAGCCAAAAGAGGTATAGTCTGAGCTGGATTCACCAGCAAAGAGACAGTGGAAAAGGTTATGCCAACCATTTGCTGACAGGTAGTTAGTTAATAATTCTTTGGAGCTGCAGAGTGCTATCATCAAAAGCAGAGATGTGAGGATGATTTGCTACTGTGAAATGAGTGCAGTCATTTTGGTGCCTCATGGCAGCCTGGAGAACCTGGTTACAGGGCAGAAAATATTCAAAGTCTCTGTTGCAAAGTGAGCAGAGAGTTTAGATGGGAATTGAATTAAAACAGTTATTTGAGTTTTAACCAATCTTTTCCTGGAAAATCTGGAGTCTTTTTGCTAAATGAAGCACAATACAGGCACAGTCACACAAGCCAGCTCTTTAATAATAACCATAGGACAAACGAGCAGCTGGCAAGAAAAAAACCATAGTAGTCCTGCCTATGGCAAGATTTCCTCATTTGTCCCGTTGTAAAAGCCTGCAAAAGGACTTTGGCAAATTTGCCTTCAAGTGTCCCATCAGAGACTGCTGCCTGCCAAAGGCTGCTTTCTTGTGTGTGGAAATTTCAGTTAATATGGCTCAGCAAGACTCAAGAATGTGGTTAGGGAATGGCATTCTGCTTTGTCTACTGTACAGAAATATTTGCCACCTCTCACTGAGGAGCCCTAGAGCTTTGCAGCTTCTTCCAGGGAAAAGGTCTTTTCCCAGAACAGCATACTGACATCTGGCTAAGTTATGAGCCTCTGGAAATACCAGTTCATGTGTGCTGATAGAGACTGGTGGCTTATTTGAGACAAACAATCACACTCCCCAAAGAGAAGAGGGCTTTGCATGGTGCCTGCACGCTCATGGTGGCACCAGAAAGCAAGACCCACCCCAGGCTGCCCACAGTTGGTGCTGAGCAGTGAGAAGGGTGAGGACACACAATTTCTGTGTGAGTGGAGAACAGGTCCTGTGAGCTGAGCAGACAGCATAAGCGGCAACATCAGGGCAGGAGCTCAACAGGATAAAGGTCGGTCAGGAGGGGTTATGCAGAGGAGAAGCAGGAAAGGGTACAAAGTAGGAGAGGGAGAAGCAAGAGCTGAGGCATACTTCAGAAAGAGAAGACAGATAAAACAGAGGAAGAGGACCAACTGATAGCAGTATAGGAATATTTAACTCCCAAGCTACAGATGCTCTTAGATTCCTGCTTCCTCTGCTGATAGCTACAGCAACCCCCTGATATGAAGGCTACCATGTGCTTCCAGCTCCAATGGAAAACAGCTGCTACTGTAAGCCACCTGAAGGGGTAAGGCTCTAGCATGCAGCTCTCCCTCCAGTACATGAAGGGGCTACAGGAACGCTGGGGAGGGACTTTTTACAAGGGCATGTAAGGATAGGATGGGGGAACGGTTTTAAACTGGACCAGGGGACATTTAGGCTAGACATTAGGAACAAATTCTTTAGTGTGAGGGTGATGAGACAGTGGCACAGGTTGCCCAGGGGAGCTGTGGATGCTTCATCCCTGGAAGTGTTCAAGGCCAGGTTGGATGGGCCTTGGAGCAACCTGGTCTAGTGGGAGGTGTCCCTGCCCGTGGCAGGGGGCTGGGTGTAGATGATCTTTAAGGGCCCTTCCAACCCAAACCATTCTATGACTCTAAGATGATCCATGTGGGTGGGAGCCAGTATGCTTCCTCTGAGTAATGGATTGGGCTGTTACTAGTTTGCTGTCTTGGAACAACTGGGTGAAATTTTAACAGAAATTCATACAATAAAATCCTCTAAACAAACTTTACTATTGGAAGTTTAATATTCAAGCACTTGATTTTTAGTGTTAAGACAGACCAGTACTAAGGCTGATTCTGAAATCTTAATTTGACTCAGTTGTTTATGTTGGTTACAGAAGTATCTTTAATTACATGCCCTGTGCTATTTCTACAGAAACTCCAGTTGGGAAGGTCTACGCAAGGGGAGCAGGATGGATCCTCCTCCTTCTGCATGCTACAGAGAGAACAAGATAGGGAGTTGTGAGAAGAGAAACGATGGCTGAGGAAACTAAATGGCACTTTAATTATTCCTGGCAATTAGGTTCTATACCTGCCACTACAGAGCTGTTCATACATAGTAAAGCCAGTCATGTAAACCAAAACATTTACACATGGCCTCTGGGCATGGTTTCACTTCCCCTCAATGCACCCAGCCTCAGACAGCCGGCAGACATGCTTTGCCTTCAGCAGCTGTCAGTGAAGTCAGTGACAGCTGTAATCTGGATGTAAAAACTAATGGTACTAAACTTCCTGGAAAAAATGCAATATCTCACTGCAGGCCTTCAAAAAGTGAACGTATGATTTGTCTATATCCCCTGATTATGAAGGTGGGTGAAAAGCGTGATAGTAAAATGCTTGTGCAAAAATATTAATGGACCAGTGTGAGAGCAGAAATCATGTGGTCCTGCATAATGCAGTAGCAAGCCATGGAAAATACACTGGGTATGGAGAGGAGGTGTCAAAATCCTGGGTGTGTGCTCACTGGTAGGCCTGTGAACTGAGACATGCAACCTGGGTAAAACTTCTGTATTTCTGCCTAGGTGCAGAGATGCTGAATGGCAGAGCCAGCCTTCATTCTGGCCTTGCCTGACATCTCAAATACTGATTAAAAAGCTGTATGATGTTTTGGTATTCTAAAGATAATATATACATTTAGTAGAAAAAGTAGCCCAACTCTAATCATGTTACCCTAACTACAATGCTCTACTTCTTAGCTTGAATTATATTAGCTTGATTAACATACCTGCCTACTTCAGAAAAAAATTACTTGATCACTTGCTGTGGAACCTCATCTGCAGCAACCTGCTTGGCTTCCTAGTCTCCATGAAAATGAACTCATGGGGAATAGCTGCATCAGAACACATCCTTAATGTGTTCCCATGAGCTATTTTACTTTATATAGCTCTTTCATATGTGAGTTGGCATATCACCAGCTGTAAATGGGGAGGGTATTTACAGCACCTGTTAATGCACCAACCAGTGGTGTTTCAGTACTGAACTTCACCATCACGTGGCAAGCCTCACACAGTGTGAGAAAGTGACTCAATCCTTCCTGGAGAAGCCTCTGATCTCTGTGAGAACTTCGGTTAGAAAACTGTATGGCAGACAAGACTTGCACTATCTGAATGCAAACGTGCAACCTAAAAAGATCAATGGCTTTGGCAGCTTCTAACCACATCAAACCACAGAGGACAAAGGGTAATGGCTTCAAACTGGAAGAGAGTAGATTTAGATTAGACATTAGGAAAAAAATATTCCCTATGCGGGTGGTGAGACACTGGCACCAGTTGCCCTGAGAAGCTGTGGCTGCCCCCTCCCTGGAAGTGTTCAAGGCCAGGCCAGATGGGGCTTGGAGCATCCTGGTCTAGGGTTACTTGTCTCTGCCCATGGCAGGGGGGTTGGAGCTAGATGATTTTTTAGGTCCCTTCCAACCCAACCCATTCTATCATTCTATTCTTGAATGTTTCAAATAACAAAGAGCTTAGTAATTTCTTTTATATCTTGTGGTCTGCCACATGCTTAGCTACTGGGAGAAGTGCTCCCTAACTGGAATAAGGAGTACAGGGCTTGCTACAGATAGACTGTGAGAGAAATCTGACAGAAAAAAGATTTGGCTTCCCAGGATGAGCAATTAGTTGTCCTTGAGTAGTATAGCAGGGAAAATTTTATCTGCAGACCTTCTGCTTTGAGATTTGAACTGAGAGCATGATTAAAAAAATAAATCCAGTCCTGATTTAAAAACAAACAAAAGCTAAGTGAAAGAATCTATAAATCCACCAAAACAGCCGTAAACAATCTGCTGCTCCACAAAGCAGGCAATCGCAGACACACAAATCCCAACACCCAACCAATCCCCACACACACTCTCTTTTCCTTGCTAATACAAGTGGGGTGCAGGAGAGAGGTGGAGTCAGACATTTCAGCTTGAACTTCCCTTCAAAAAATCAATTAATAAATCGATAACATGGTACGAAGAGTAAGAGGGGAACAGACAGGCAAAGGGCTAAACTTCGGTTAGAAAACTGTATGGCAGACAAGACTTGCACTATCTGAATGCAAACGTGCAACCTAAAAAGATCAATGGCTTTGGCAGCTTCTAACCACATCAAACCACAGAGGACAAAGGGTAATGGCTTCAAACTGGAAGAGAGTAGATTTAGATTAGACATTAGGAAAAAAATATTCCCTATGCGGGTGGTGAGACACTGGCACCAGTTGCCCTGAGAAGCTGTGGCTGCCCCCTCCCTGGAAGTGTTCAAGGCCAGGCCAGATGGGGCTTGGAGCATCCTGGTCTAGGGTTACTTGTCTCTGCCCATGGCAGGGGGGTTGGAGCTAGATGATTTTTTAGGTCCCTTCCAACCCAACCCATTCTATCATTCTATTCTTGAATGTTTCAAATAACAAAGAGCTTAGTAATTTCTTTTATATCTTGTGGTCTGCCACATGCTTAGCTACTGGGAGAAGTGCTCCCTAACTGGAATAAGGAGTACAGGGCTTGCTACAGATAGACTGTGAGAGAAATCTGACAGAAAAAAGATTTGGCTTCCCAGGATGAGCAATTAGTTGTCCTTGAGTAGTATAGCAGGGAAAATTTTATCTGCAGACCTTCTGCTTTGAGATTTGAACTGAGAGCATGATTAAAAAAATAAATCCAGTCCTGATTTAAAAACAAACAAAAGCTAAGTGAAAGAATCTATAAATCCACCAAAACAGCCGTAAACAATCTGCTGCTCCACAAAGCAGGCAATCGCAGACACACAAATCCCAACACCCAACCAATCCCCACACACACTCTCTTTTCCTTGCTAATACAAGTGGGGTGCAGGAGAGAGGTGGAGTCAGACATTTCAGCTTGAACTTCCCTTCAAAAAATCAATTAATAAATCGATAACATGGTACGAAGAGTAAGAGGGGAACAGACAGGCAAAGGGCTAGGGATATACCCAAGTAGCTGGCATGTCCCTTCTGCCCTGACCAGCTGCTCTGTGACATGCTTACCGGGATCCCTAGAGCTTTTAGAATATTCATTTTACACATTGGGCAGGTACGATGGTCTAGCAGCCAGGGGTCTACACACGACTTGTGGAACAGATGCCTGCAATGAAAACCAGGATATTTTAATTCAAATCCACCACAGTACAATTTACCACTTAGTACCACGGGCTTCTGCTAAACTCAGTAAAGTGAGAGTATTTCAAATGGTGTGGTTTGTGACCTCTGCAAGGACTGCAAAACTACATCCTATACGCACAAGAATACAAATGCTTCTGCAGCATCTCAAATGTATGTGAACAGTGTTGCTCAACTGAGTTTGGAAAAGAGGACATGTACATAAATAGAGCATTAGGAAAAATACACAAAACACATCAGCAAAACCCATATTCTTTAAATGTTGAAGGCTGTCAGTAAACAAAACCTACTTTCTGGTAAAGGTAAAAATCACATTACTGTTTCTTGAGGGTTCTACAGACAAACCTGATTACACATCATTTAAACATGAAGCCATTGGGGCTCTGGTTTTTTTTAGAATGCAGGCATAAGGAAATAAAGACAATTAAAAAACCCAACAACTTCTCATTTAAGTGGAAAAAATAGGATGATGCTTTTTAAAATATTCTCCCTGACTTCCCTGCTCTTTAGAAGGTGCCCATGAAAGTGAGCTCCTAAACCAACTCCAGCCCTGAAAGGGTCCTTGTTACTCCCATGCTTGGTCTGAAGTGGCCGCTAAGTAACTACCTGAGCCCTGTGGCTTCTGTGGACTGCTTTTCTTAGACATTCTAGAGGCAGAGGAACCGAAAGCTTCTCATCTAGCTTCACCTGATACCAACTGAGATAGAATACAGAGGTATTTTGTGCATGTACCCGACTAACAGATTGCATTTTCTCCTGTGAGCCTATTCTCTTGCCCTGTGGTTATAAAGGACAAATGTTATAAAACACAGGAATACGGGGCTTGAGATTGAAGAGACACTGTTGAGTAGGCCAAGTAGAGAAATCAGGACTCAGCTCAAGACAGTTAAGTTTGTTAAGCCCCACCCCTTCTGAAGAAAAGGAGGAAATTTTCCTGCCATGCATGTAGCCTCAGAAATTACACCAGCATAAAGGAAACAGAAAATTGTCTTGCCTTCCTATAAGTATTTTTAATCAATTAATTGAATTGAGTAGTTCAGTTGGAAGGGAACTTAGTCCAACTGCCTAATATAACTAAATAATAATACTAACTCCAGTGAAATTGAAAGAGGGTATTTAATTAAGAAATATGAGGCTCAGTATACACATTCTTCCTCTAAAAGGTGCAAGCTAAAACTAAAGGGCTTGTGCTGAAACACCATATAGATCAGCTCTGCATTTCTTTTCTCAGACTTGCAACAGGTGTCCCACATTTTACTTGGCAGAGCCTGAAAATCACGTTTCAGTCTGCTTGAACTTCTTTCTACGGGTGAGCAGTGGCTGGCCTGTGTTCCCTGGGCTGCCATTGCCCAACTTGCTTTGCTGGTGCAGCATAGCCACCCAAACCCACCAGGTAACCACAGGTGAACACAGCTCACAGCTGCCCAAGCTCAACTGTATGAAGTTCAACAAGGCCAAATGCCAGGTCCTGCATGTGGGTCACAACAACCCCAGACAATGCTACAGGCTTGGGGCAGAGTGGCTGGAAAGCTGCCCAGAGGAAAAGGACCTGGGGGTGTTGGTCGACAGCAGTTGAACATGAGCCAGCAGTGCCCAGGTGGGCAAGAAGGCCAACAGCATCCTGGCCTGTATGAGGAACAGTGTGGCCAGCAGGACTCAGAAAGTGATTGTCCCTCTGTACTCAGCACTGTTGAGGCTGAACTTCAAATCTTGGGCTCAGTTTTGGGCTCCTCCATTACAAGAAGGACATTAAGGTGCTGAAGTGTCTAAAAAAGGGCAACAAAGCACAAGTCTTATGAAAAGCAGATGAGGGAACTGGTTGTTTAGCCTGGAGAAAAGGAGGGGTGACCTTATCACTCTCTACAACTATCTGAAAGGAGGGTGTAGCCAGGTGGGGCTTGGTCTCTTCTCGCAAGTAACAAGTGATAGGATGAGATGAAATGGTCTCAAGTTGTGCTTGGCAAGGTTTAGATTGGATGTTAGGAAAAATTTCTTCACTGAAAGGATTCTCAGGCATGGGAAGAGGCTACCCAGGGAGGTGGGTGACTCACCAGCCCTGGAGGTATTTAAAAGACATGTAGATGTGGTGCTTGGGAACATGGTTTAGTGGTGGACTTGGCAGTGCTGGGTTAATGGTTGGACCTGATGATCTTAGAGGTCTTTTGCAACTAAAATGATTCTATGATTCTATGGCTCTACCTGGAGCAGATAACCTTTAGCAGTCTCCATGAGGAAATGCAATCTCTGAGAAAGCCAGACTTGTTCAATGCAGCAAACTCATTTTAAATATTTACGTAGTACACATTCAGCTGAATGGGTTGGCTGCTGTCCAGTGTCATGGTCTCTCTAACACAAAAAGATACACATAGACTTTCAACTTGATGGAAAGTATTGAGGTGCACTTTCATCAATATTGATTTGCAACCTCAGCTCTTACTAACACGATATTGGACCACATACTAGCGGGCTATCTTACTATCTGGCTTCAGTCCCAAATACCACTACAGTCTCAAAAAACCACCTGTGAAATCTCAGAATCTTCTCTTCACTGCTATGTTTTTTCTCACTAATTCTAAAAGAAATGGGTCCTTTGTGAAAACAAAACCGTATGGCAAATTACCACGTTCCTGTACTTGGTCCGACTTCACACAGCTATGGGAAAGGGCAAATCTGTCCTTGGAGGTTCAGCCTAGTCTAATTATATCAGTTGGCTGCAACACCAAACTTTGTCATACCTCATCTGATCCTGTATGTCAACATGATTAATATAAATGAAGTATCGTGATACTTGAAGTTTAAAGCACTACTTTATTAAGGCTACTAAAGCTCACAACACTCCTTTTAAACAAGACTTGCCTTACTGGATAAAAACACAATACATCAAATTTTGGTCTCTGTTCTGCACAGCTCTTCCTTCCTTTTATCTATGTGGGACATATTCAGCTCATCAACAGGCAAGTATTCTGAATAGGTGAAAGCAGAAAGATACAGTTCTCAAGCCTTTGTAATTTTACATTTAGAAGTCTAACCAGCATTCTTTGGGTGTGTCAATTCACAGAGGGTACTGAAATTCAATGTCTTGCTTTTCATCTATTTGAGGTAACTGAAATTTTTGATAGTGATTAGCTTAATTATATACTCAAATTCATAAACAAGTATGTTTAACTGCAAACATCTGAAGCACGTTTGTACTAAAATAATCAGTACATTTACAAAATCTAAGATATTTATTCTTTCTTGAAAGAAACATATTTCCAAAGCCTGTTTCAGATAAAAAAATATTTTCCTATCAAGCCATTCTACCACAGACTAGAAAGTCTCCTTTCATTTTCAATTTCAATCTTTGCAAGCTTCAGTTAGGCTGTGAATTGTATTACAGCATTTCATAAAACCTGTTAATCACCAAAAACTTGGAAATTTCATGCATTAAAGACTTTAAAAAGTGAAGTTTAGTGTTCTTAAGGTTGGCTTAAAAAATATATTTGAAATAAATTCTACCAATGCTCAGTAATTTACATCCATGGCAGATCGTGTCACTTTGCACTTCTAAATACTAAATTAGCACAGCCTATTAGGGCTTTATTAGTTTCAGATTTAAGATGTACAATAGAAGAAACTTGATTATTTGACAGAAATCCACAGAAAGATGAAAATCAGATGAGGACTTGAAATTTTAACTCAGGTGGCAGGCTTTGCAACTTGAATTTGAAAGTTTATTCATTTTTAGTTACATGCATGATTACGACTTTGAACAAATTGTGAATTACTTGACGTGCTGATAAGTTTATAATCCAAATTCTGGCAAAATAAGGGCCAGCAGCACAATGAGAGAACAACCGCAATAATTTTCTGTCATGTGGTAAGACAAAGACAGATGTAAAAAGACCTACTGTGACAAAAATCTCTCTCCCTCTGCACTTCTGATTGATGCAAATTTCAAAAGGAGGAGGTAGAGGCATCACAGATGAGTACAGAAGTAGTGACCCATACAGGGAGACAGTAAGAGAGATGTTTCAGCTACAGGCTCGGGACATGGCTTTGGCAATCAAAGTCAGAGTGGCTGCAATGCTACCACATGCACTGCAGAACTATGTTAGTTTGGACGGCTTGAAAAGTTTCTCAAAAGAACTGTAATTGATTAGCTGAGAGAGAGGAAGACAAGGGGAGAAGAGATGATGTAACAATGCTCATACAAATCAAGGAATCTCCATAAGGAGAAAGGAAACAACTGTTCTTCATCTCTCCTAGGGGTAAGAGAGACAATGGTGTATTTCAACTGCAGCAAGTGAGATCCAGGTTACACAAGAGGAAAAGCTTCAGCGCAGTGAAGGTAGTGAAGAGCGCTGCAAGAAATGATCAGGGGAATTTGCAGAGCCTTCATCCCTGGAGGCTGCAGAGTGTGTTGGAAAAATAATTCCCAAGAACCCCATGTGCACGGGCAGTGCCCGTGCACAGTTCCAGGGGTGCTGGCCTCCTGAGATCCCTCCTGTACTCCTGGGTGACACTGTGACTGCACATGGCTTTGTAGAGCTCACAGAGCACAAAGAAGGAAAAAGAATCTTGAAATCCCAGAGCATTTAATTTACTATTATCTAAATAGCACTTTGTATTTATTAACTACGGGTTACTTTTGTTTGAAATGTATTTAATTTTTCCTTAAAGCTACAATCTTAAACATAGAAGGAAAAAAATAACAACTAATTTCAGGCTCAGTCCAAAATTATAATAATACTAATTTGAATGGTGTAAAACTATTGCAAAGCTTCCAGCTTGCCAACAATTTTCTGAAGCTGTTTTTCCAGGTTAAGAGAAACTGTTGTTCTCCTACCTTCTGCTCCTCATCCCACCTTTCTAATCTACATGCAAATAAATGTAGCAGTCATGCAGTTTTTCTCAGCAAAAAATCAGGAGCAAAGAGAACAGGAGGCAAAAGTGGAAAGAAGGAGAGGCACATACCTAAGGACCCTGAAGAAGAGCATGAGTTGCCTGGATTAGACATAGGGCTGCAGCGGAAGACTGAGAAGGGTTTTGCTGAGAGACTGAGCAGTACAATGGCATCCAACAAGAAAGTTCGGCGTTTTGGGGCTGCATGTATGGTATTATTTGTTTATTTTTGAGGATGAACGAAGAACAAAAGAAATAATTATGAGGGTAAGTGAGAGGAAGTAATCAAAGGGAAGAATGTGTGGGATGTAATGATTTTCATGTGGACCTAATAAAAAGAGAAGGGAGGAGTGAAGCAGTCTCTGAAATCAAAGTTATTTGTGGAGTGAAGGTTCAGGGGAAGGGAATGAGCTGGAATGGGGTCAGAAAGCATGTTTACTGGTGTCAGAAATGAAACAATCAACAAAAGAGCTTATGAAGAACTCAGTAGAAAGGAGGCTGAAAGAATCACCTTGTTTCTCTGTAGCAGTTTAGTAAAGTTAAAATTTAGTAAAAAGTAGACATCGGGAGCAGCAGCACCAATAACTTCTCCAAAGAAAGAGCAGAAAAGATGAAGGCGTTTTGAAGCTAGAGATGGAAGACAAGCAGAAAGAACTGGGGCTATGACAAGAGATGTTACCCTGGGAACAATGATCTTGGTTACATTTGACGTTGTGTCAGTGCCCGCAAAGAGAACTTTAGCAATGCTTGCTACCATTAAACATAAAACCAGCTGCAAGCCAACACTATTTTAAATCAAGTGTCAGTCCTTATTTATTTGATACATTATGTAGAGTGAAGTTTATTAGCACAGTCAGTTGTGGGAGCTGGCTAAAGAGAACAGTGAGAAAGAAGAACAACTTAAGTGGAATTCTCCTCCTAGTTCTCCAGAATGAGAGATGCAGTAACAAGCTATCCCAGTGCCTGCTCTCTGCCAACAGAAAAGAGGACATTTGGGGAAACACTGTAAGCACTAGTAAACATGCATCTATGTAACTTCAGAGCTCATTCACTGCCATATTGGCTGGTGGATTTTTGGTACCAATTTCTTAGGAGATTCAGGGTATGTCAGGCTTAAAAAAGCAATGCCAGGATACACATGGCATTATGCAGCATGTGCCTGCTAGCAGTGGTTTTCCTATTACTACCAGCAGTACAAAGAAGCATCTTTCATGTGCAGCTCTTGAAGTATGTTTGGCTTTGAAGGTAAAAGTTCTACACCTTGAACACCTCCTGGATAGAAACACTAAGGTCAGCCAGCACTGGCGTCATATGGTGCTGGCTTCTGTAAGGCTTGGGGAAAGGCCAGCTGCTTATTAAACAGCAACCTATTGAGGTTCACATCCTAGAAACTGCCTGTGGTTTAACTGAGTATGCTGCAGGAAGAAACCTACAGAGTCTGTAGGTCTTTAGTAAGATATAACATTCTCCCACCCACTTAGTAGGGACACAAATTAATTCTTTTTTTTTTTTTTTTTTTTTTTTTCTTTTTTTTTTTTTTTGGAGGGGGAAAAGGCCCTGAAAAATGTACTTCAGAGCTCATTCACTGCCATATTGGCTGGTGGATTTTTGGTACCAATTTCTTAGGAGATTCAGGGTATGTCAGGCTTAAAAAAGCAATGCCAGGATACACATGGCATTATGCAGCATGTGCCTGCTAGCAGTGGTTTTCCTATTACTACCAGCAGTACAAAGAAGCATCTTTCATGTGCAGCTCTTGAAGTATGTTTGGCTTTGAAGGTAAAAGTTCTACACCTTGAACACCTCCTGGATAGAAACACTAAGGTCAGCCAGCACTGGCGTCATATGGTGCTGGCTTCTGTAAGGCTTGGGGAAAGGCCAGCTGCTTATTAAACAGCAACCTATTGAGGTTCACATCCTAGAAACTGCCTGTGGTTTAACTGAGTATGCTGCAGGAAGAAACCTACAGAGTCTGTAGGTCTTTAGTAAGATATAACATTCTCCCACCCACTTAGTAGGGACACAAATTAATTCTTTTTTTTTTTTTTTTTTCCTTCTGTTTTTTTTTGGACGAGGCAATGAGCCTGACAAATGTAGAAAGAATCATGACTACAGTTTCCTGTTTTGGAAGTCCAAGCCCATGCAAATATGTAAAATACTGCCCTCACAGTTTGTGCAGCAGGACAACCAGGGTTTGTGAAATAGCTGCTTGAGAAAGATCTTAGAGGTTTTTATAATTCAAAACTGCTGAGGCTCAAACTGTGAGTATTTTACAAGACAGTTCTGCTGCTGCTAACCTTTTAGCATTAGTCAGTTTCTAGGCGACCTTTTAAGTCCGCCAAGAACTGAACATCACCTGTTAACTATGCATTTCCTACTCACTCAGCTTGACTCAACACTGTGGATGACAGTCTGACTGTGGCCTCATTGAATTATGAAGCGAAACACAAGTGATAGCTAGAGCTTAGACATGGTTTTTTGCTGTTGTATAGCTACCTCCAAAACATGCCTCTCTCTACCACGAAAAATTTCCAAACTTTAATATGCTTCTATGAAAACAGTCTTGATGTCAAACCAAGGTCAATATTTTCTGGTAATTTCTCATTTTTTTTTTATATTTCTCCTTCATGAAATGATGCTCCACATGCAATTTGTCCTTGTGGAGGATTAACAGTAGGTCAGATTTATTACTAATCTGCTGCTTTTTGTTTGCCATTTAGTGATGGCAGTAAACAGTTTTAATGAGTCACATGAACAAACAGAAATGGACAGCTTGTAATAGTCAGATATTTAAGTGGGAACAACATAGTAGGAAAAGAAACATACTTCAGTTTCTCAAGCCAGTGAAATGACTTCAGGAGAAGAAAGAAATGCTAGTAAAAATAAGAAAATGTCTGTGCTCTGTATGTGCAGCACTTGAGATTCCTATTTCTAGCGAAATCAAACACTTGCTCTTGCTCTCCTAGGGGAACCACTGTTTCTAGGAAAGTTCCTAAGAAATTCATTTCCTTAGAGAAATCCTTCATCAGTCAACACTTCATGGATGACAATACAGTGCCATAGAGAGATGAAAACAACTGTTAGAGGTGGCAAGAGGCTGCGCTCCTGTGTCACATCACTGCAAATGTTATGTGCTGCACAGGACACGTTCACACGAGGGGAAGAAAAGAGAAAGAACAAGCCCAAAAGTTGTCACCTCCATGTCTCACATGCCTGAGAACATTTTCATGGCAGCAATAGATAACACAGTCTTTGTCACACACAGTATTTTCTATTTCCTGTTTCTACTCAGCATATCTTTTTATGGTTTTTAGAGAACTCATCCCTTTCTCAGTGCCTGGACATGGCCCAGGACAGAAAAATAAGTAGCTCCATGGGGAGCAGAAGCCTGCTCTATCCCTGGCTGCTTTGCCCAGGGAACACTTCAAAGTCAGGGGCAAATTCTTCTGAGGCAGGTATTCTGAACTGATATAAAACCAGTGAGCAGAACAGAGGAATCAAAAACCTTGAATTTAAAAATCCTACTGAAGACTTTGTAGCAGGTCCAGATCAGACAGAATTTCTGAGTATAATTTTAAACTCAGGTTCTCACCACCATTATCACTACTTTCATGTCAAGTGGAAAAAGAGGCATTTCAAGTATCCTTACACAACAGATTTTGAATAAATCAAGATGACAAATTCACCGTTCCCTCCCCTAGCTCTCAGGTAATCTCAACAGCATGACATTGTGAGAACAGAACCTGTCTTGAAATAGAGAGCTATATCACAGTTAAAACCACATGCAACCTTCAACTTACCTGCAAGGCAAAATTCTCACAACGTCATTGGGCTTGTAGCCTTCAATACAAACAGCACAGTTATCAAAGTCTGGCTCCGTTTCCTACAGGAAAAAGAACATTCATAATTTTAATTTTTTTGTCAGCTAACGTCTTCCTACAAGAGCCTATGTGACAAAGTAAAATGGTCACTGGTGCACGCTACACATGCAATTATGGATTTCAAGACAAGCAAATCAGATTTTCCAACACATTTTCAGTTGGAAACTTGCCATGGGAAGTATGCAAATTTAGTTAGCATGTTTTAACTTTCAAGATTTTCTGCAACTTCAGAGAATCACATTCTGCTCTCTCTATTCCATTACATCCACAAATTGCTTACAAGACTATTCCTCCTCTGCCTGAAGGACACATATTAGCTAAATAAGCAACTGTCATTTCTCTTCTCCCTCTCTGACCCAGAAGTCTGAAGGAATCCTCAGTACAGTTTCATTTGGTAATGAGCAATTTGAAGAATTACCTTGTCACCTTTCCTGATTGTTCTGACTTGCAGCTTGCTGATTGCCTTCTTTGCAGCATCTCCAAGACGGCGCTGTAATAAAAAATTGCTCTTAAGCAAAGAGTAACTCTTCATGCACAAATCATCACCTTTTCTCCCTAGGTTTCTTAATAATCTGAAGTGAGGGTACAAGAAACAGGACAGTGCTGCATAAATATAAACAGATGAGGTCAGTCATGATGTTATTCACAATAAGAGCACTGTAGGTATTCCAAGCTTGCTGGTAACCCATGACTGATGAGGCAATTCTAATGGAGTTCCAGTAGAGACTGTAGGTGACCCCATCATGATACTACAACACAGCACCTCTACTATTCCAGTGAGGAGCGATGTATGAAACAACTCCTCTATTTGGGTATTATACTTCTTCCCTCTCTTTTTCTAATTACACTTGTAGCAAGCAGAGCAAACACTGGATTCAGAAGGTCTTATTTCTTATGCTGTTGCAGTACCAGTTCATGATCTTCAACAAGATGTAAATGCTGAAAGTGAGTTGTTAATCTATTAATAAACATCATTGGTGTTCTCTTTCCTTGCAGTACAGACTTGCCTACTTTGCAAGAGCAATACAAGGTATAAAAACGAGGCAAAAGCATCTGCAGTTTCTTACAGGTAAAGCATATAGTAACAAACTATCCATACCTAACCATTTGCTTGTTCCTTGCCTTTCTATCTTTGCCTCCAGTGGACCATGAATTGTTTACCACATGATGTCTCCAACTGTTCTCCCATATTTCCAAAACACTGTTACTGTGCTAGCAAGGCTCACAGCCACTCAGGGCTGAAGTATATAATGACAGCCCAATGCAAAACGCCCTGTTCTCAGAGGCTGGAGATGGAGATGCCTGCCTCTGCCTCTTGCAAGTGGCTGAGAGTGTTACGGGGCAGTTCATACAATCACTGCTCAGCAGAGCTACCTCTGCATCCTACACTTTTGAGCTTGTGCCTGTGACGGTGCTCCAAGGAACTGGCTGCTCACTTGTGCTAACCCAACAAGGCGATCTGGAGGCTGACTCACAGGATGGAAGGGTCTTTGAGAGGTCATGTACTCCCACTCCCTGCTCAAGGCTGGGTCAACTTCAAAGTCAGAGCTGTGTCCAGTCAAGTTTTGAATATCTCCAGGAAGGGAGATTACACAATCTCTGTGGATAATTTGTTCCAGTGCTTAATGACTCTCATAGTAATTTAAAAAAAACCAAAACCCCAACAACCAACATACAAATGGATTTTTTTGTGATTTGTGACCATTGCCCTTGTCCCTTCTTTGAGAACCTCTGAGAAGAGTCTGACTGCACATCCTCTTCAACCACCCGTTATGCAGCTGAAGGCTGCAAGCAAAGTCCTTCCTTCTCCTCTGCTCCCCTCCCAGTTTAGCAAGCCAAGTTCCCACATGCCTTCTCAGAGGTCATCTGCTTCTATCCCCAGACCATACTGGCAATCCTCCTCTAGGTCACCTCTAGTTTTATCATGCCTTTCTCATACAGTTTCATGCAGCAACACTCATTCTGATGTCTTCTTGTCAGTTTTATAACAGCTCAAGATACAGTGCATCCCAATTTGCCACCAGTAAATGACTTAAAAGTCTTCTCTTCAACCCCCCTCCCCATCCATGTTTCCAGCCATGTCTTGTCAGATGGGGAAGGAGACTTCAGAGCTCTGGTGACTCAGAAGACATTCAACTTTTCAGGCTGGGAACATGGCCTGTGCCAGAGTTCAGAGAGGCCTGTCAGAGGGAAGGCTTTCCAGACGGAGGGGGGGCAGAATGAAGCCAAAAATGGAAGGAAGCTGGATGTAGTTTGTAAATTGAGACCTAATCACCATACAGATACAATTAATAAATTACCCCTTTGTTCTTCAGATTCAATTAAAATCACTGAATTTAGAAAGTAAGCTTATTGGATTGGAAAGACATGGAAGACTGAGAAAATGTATGCAATACTGAAAGCAGAGAGCAATTTCAGATCTGGCTAAAGAAGTGAAAACAATCTTGGCTATCATATGAGGTTTACATAGGAGCCTTCCAGCATTACTTTTCCACGTGAGGGAGTACCTTGTAGTTAGAACAACATATTTTCTGTGAAACATTTTTCTCACAGTCTCCCTTAAATAAAGGGATCAGATGAGACTTGGAAACATTTCTTGCCAGCTATTTGTTTCTTTAATGTAAATCAAAGACAGACTGATAACACACAGCAAGACAAGAGTCATTATGTCCTGCTTCAGGAATTGCTTGTGATTCCTTTTTATCATTATTATTACTTAAACTAATGAAACGTCTCAGTTCCTTTCTGCACATTCTTCAAGGGGAAAGGACAAGATTAAAGACTTGTGTACATCTTTGATCTGCTTGTTTTCATGTTCGCTTTCTCTTATCTGTCTTAAATAGACAAGTTCATGACTTAAATGCAAATGAGAACAATTTACTTTTTAAAGGAACAGGGATATCTTGGAGTAAAGCCATACTTTCAAGGGATTCTTCCATTTGAATGAAAGGCACACCATCACTAACCAATGATTTCTTCTAAACGGTAAGAGGCATTACAATAGTTTAATGGTTTAAAGTAAGGCTTAGAGATTTACAATCATAAATCTCATAATCTCATTAGTAAGGCTGCAACATTCAGTCCTGGACTGGAAGAAGTTAAGAATATCACTTGCAGTGGTCTTGCAGAGATGGTGATACTAGTTTAAAAGAAAGGGCAGTAGCATGGAAAGAAGAGCTTGTCTCTTCCTGAGGAAGTAAAGGACTGTAGATGCTGTGGACGAGAAATTATGGTAAGTGCTTCCCTCTGAATGGCCTTACTAATCTGCACCCTTGCAGGAACCTTGTGCCTTGCACAGATTGAAGTGCACTGTCAGGACAAAGTATCAGACACACCTCCTGTAGGACAGGGGAGTCCACACTCTGGACTCCATAATGGGACATATCTTCCTAACACTGTTTCAAAGATTGATGTTTCTATTCAATGGTCCAGAACCCTCATTCCAAGCCATGACTAGCAGTCTTCCTTCTCAGAGAATTGTTTGACCCTCCATATGCTGCCAGTTACACACTGAGGTAGATCCTTCACTGGAGATCAATGTAGGATGCACAGGATTGGCCTCAGCTCACGTGCAATCGTTGCCTGCTTTGGCTTTGACCATCCTGCAAAACTCATGGGGCCCATCTGGTTTCAAAATAACCTTATAGAAAACTTCTTCTTAACAAGCAACCAATGAATGGAAAGAAATCACACAGATGAAATATGGTTAACAGATTTAGCACTTAAAAATCATTCCCTTGCCATTTTCCCATCTCACAGATGACAAAAAGAAAACTCTGCTATTACTGGAGAAATATGAAACCTGACACACTGACAGGGTTGCGTTTTGCTTTTTTTTTTAAGCCTGTGTCCTGGCTGTTGTAGGGCTGAGAAAGCAAGTCACATTTTGCTGAATTATCTTCAGGGCTTGACATGTAATTCCAAACTGCCTTCAATTAGCTCTGCAACCTGATGTCTCTTGATGCAAACAACTCCCACAGTCTTTCACAGAGAAACTCTCTCATCTTCAGGCAGGCTCCAGGAGCAACGCACTGTGGAAACAGATTGCCTATTCTTTCCATACACAAATATATACTTTTCATTTCAAAAGGGCGTATGATCAGGGCAACAACCTACTTCCTGGACATCTTGTTAGGTGGGAAAAAAATAAAGAAGGCCTTGGATTTCCATCCACGTAAATACTACTACCTATCTTGTACTTCCGCATGTACCATATAGTTGTCTGTGCTAGAGATGCTCCTGAAAATCAAATGTAATAAAACACAAAGTGAAATGTAAGAGTATTTGTAGCTGATGCCCTGGTTGCAGGTGCACAAGCCCAAAATGGAAGACAGTTTTGTGCTCCACTGCATGAGATCCCAGCCAAGGTGGGATGAACAGGCAAGCATATTCAGTGATAAACCTTGAAGTCCTGATTCTTTGCTCATCAAAATCAGGCACCTAACTGGAGTGAGTTGTGTTTTTCTTCTGGCACATGAACCTGGATTTTGCACACATGGTGAGGAAGAGTTGTGGCTGAAGATGTACATGCTGTATATCCAGGTATCATCTCCCTGGTGAGTCCCAGGAAATGATTCCAGAAGATTCTTCAGTCTTTCTAGATGACTCTCACTAGCTGGACTTGTTGTTTTCTTGACAGATAATTAAGACAGTTCCTTTCAAGTTTACTGCCTGATCAGCAACTTTTGCTCTGTGCAAGAAGGGAAGTGGACCTGGAAAGGAGGTTCACATAAAAGTGGACAAGGAGGCAAAGGTGGTGATGATGCTTGACAAAAGGACACAATGCATTTTTCATGAAAGGAAGACAGAGTTGCAATTGGTCATCTTGGAAGAGGCAACATGGAAGATGAATTAGGAAGGCTTGGAGTGGCTAAGAAAAGATGTTCAGGAATCTTGCTTTCACATAACAGTGCAAGACTCCTCCTGCTTGGAGAGAGTGACTTTTTCTGCTAATAATACTTCGCAGTCAGCCACATTGCCCCATTCCTTCAGCACAAGGCCCAGACTACTAATCCAGAGGAGGCCAAACTACTCCTGGTAGCAATTCCAGTATCGGCCAAACCTAGGCAGGGCATGCATGAAAGAAGTTAACAAAGAGGTAGTCATAGGTTATTATTTGACACAGAAAACCTAGGCCCGCACAACTCATTGCTTTAAAACAGTAGGATTTAAAATCTTTCAGATGTCAAAATGAATTTAATATTTTTAAATTATTTATGTTAATTTTAACTGAAGTCTAATAAATGATTCACAGCTTTTATCGTGTTGTGGGATAGCAACAGATGGCACAACTTTCTCTCAATGCACCAGTAGCTCCCCCTTTAACCGATGCACTGTTTATCCAAACATTTCAGCATTTGGAGAAACCTAAGCCTGAGCACATTGAATACAAATAGAAGGATGCATCTTCCCTAAAGCTGGGCAGCAAAGAAGGTGCTTACAACATACATGAGGCTTTTCAACAAGTGAGCACAATACCAAGACATGTAAGTTATAATGCCAAAAGCTTTTGAGTGCAATGACAAAAGAAACTTGCTCCAGCAAGTTTTCCTTACATATACATGAATATCCAAGATACTAACATAGAACTTTGTAATGCTATCCTTGTGCTACAAGAACATGTGTCAAAGGAAAAAAAAACAAACAACAAACAAAACAAACAAGCAGAGCTTTAGAGGAAACAGAAAGGAGACCTCATGGAAAAGGCAAGAGTAAGCTGAGCTCTTCTGGACTACCTACATCATTGTATTCCATATGTAGGACTAAAAGAGGAAAAATAAGCCACAGCAACACATTAACACAAAAGGGTGAGCTTTGTTTGCATATCACTACAATTTTTAATATGAAAAAAGCTAATAAAGAAATCAGAGGTGATGTCAGGCAAAACTGGATGAAAAAAGTACATGAAGAAATTCTAGTTTGCCCTGTGTCACTGCTACAGCTTTGGGAAAAATTCAGTAATAAATACTTGCTTAGGAGGCATGCTTCCCTGTTCTTCTTAAGAACACATGTAGTAAGAAATTTATTAAAACCTCTGCACAGGACAACTGCTTGTGCATGTTAGTCTTGTTCAAACTCTGGAAAGAAAATACTGAAAAGGAAGTCTGCATGAAGATATAAACCTATTAATTTCAAACTACAGCTTATTACCTGAATGAGCTTCTTATTTTGCTGGGTCTCATGTATATGTATGTCTATTTACACTGGTAATCTGCCTGTATAATTGCTTGATTGAAAGCATGCTTGTGGTACTCACATACATAAGCTAGGCACACAAGTACTTTTGCAACCAAAGCATCTAAAAATTACAACAGCCATTGCAGTCACAGCCAATCTGCTGCCAGTGATGTTCAAATTCCAGCTGGGACAGTCTTGCTCTTGCTATTCCAAATTTCATACTGTGTATTTAAAATGAAAGTGGATTCTTTCTGTCCATAAATACAAAGCAGCTGCTCTCTATTTCAGAGGATGCTTGAATTTCAATGGAGCAGGGTGAGGGATCCCTATACATTAAGTATACATCACAAAGTGTGTGGCAGTACTTTTCTCTACAAGTTGATTACTAACGTTCTCAGTTCCATTTCTTCTACAACGTAAGCAAGGCAAACCTTCCCCTGTCCCAAGAGCAATTTATTAAAGGTCCAGAAACATCTCTGAATTACAGTGCAATTTTTTCCCTGCAGTGAAATGATTATCTCCTCAGATTTCATACATTGATAATTTCTACCATACCATTAGAATGAAATGTAGAAGCCTCAGCTTCACAGTTCTGCTGATGCAAAGATAGCTGCATCCCGACAAGTAAGGATTGAATTTATTATTCTCATTACTATTATTATTCATTGCTGAACTACCACAAGGATGCACAGTGCCTTATAAATCCAGAGAGCCTCAGGACTCACTGTTTGTTCCCACTGCTGTTGACTTCTCTCCAGCTATATAGGTTTCATATCTCTTTGAGGGAGTTTGGACAAGATTTCAAAAGCAAAAGCAACAATTTAATAGTATTGGTGGCTATCACTACAGCACGTACATCTTCAGTGATCATTGTGAAATGAAGAGAGACATGCTTGCCTTTCAAGCCCAAGGCTTCAAATGAAAACACTTTTTTCTTTTTTCTTTCTTCACTTATTATGAACCCATGTTTCACATACAGACATTCACATCCCTCACTATATTTTCATCATCATTTTGATCATAAGGGTTGTTAGTTATATACATTTCCATGTCACTTGGCTATATGTACCAAGGCAATCTTTTAGCTAAGAAACATTATCAACTTTTTATTTTTTGTGTTTTCCACAGGGGAAAACCCCCAAAATACACATACACTCTATTTATTTCTTTTTTTTTCTGAATCCCATCTATGTTGTCAGAAATCTTGACTTTTCCCAAACACAGGCATCCTTACATCCTTATTTTTTTCACTTCCTTGTTTTTTTGGTTTGGTTTAGTTAGCTGTTTTGGTTTTTTACCACACATTCACAATTTCCTCTAATTTTATTTGTAAACTGAATCCCATGGTGATTTTTTTGGAACACAACCAGCCATTCCAGCACTGCTCACCTGATTTCTGTCCCTGGCGTTGGCGTAGCGGAATCGCTGGATGTAATAGAAGACCAGCCACGCCAGCGAGATGATCATCAGCACGATGAAGGAGATGGAGACAAACACCACGGAGGTCCGGCTGACGTACTTCTGCAAGTTGCGTGTCCCGATGGTGATGTACATCATCACAGTAATGTTCCTCTCCAAGAGGCTCACTATCTCTTTTCCTTTGGGCTCAGGAATCATTATTGCTACAACATCTTCTAGGCCTATGAGACAAGAAACAGAGAAAAGAAACCTTAAGCAAAACAAGTGATTGGCATGTAATGAAACGACAAAAGGATGCAGCAAGGAAAAGAAGAAAAAAGTTTTCAATGGCAACCAGTTACACAGTGTATTTCTAGAAGCTAACCTTGGTGAGATGTATTAAAGTACTTCACGAGTTGCTGTAAACACAGAATTCCAGTGGTGCTGCGACTTATCCAGATGATCTTGCTGTAAGCACTGAAGAAAGACATGCTGCAGCTAGCATCCTTCCATACAACACTCTACATACATTTATCTTAGCTTATTGCAAGGTCATGAGTCTTTAGAGAAGCCCCTCCAAACTTCAGATCAGAAATACTTTCAATTGCAGATTCCCACATGGTTTCACAGTCTGAAAGCACCAAGGCACCACTGCCCTTGTCTGGGGCTGGCAGCATGAGAAACCTGAAGCGACAAGAGCATCTTGACACGTTCCCAGCTCACCCGCTGCCCCATACTGCCGGAGGCTTCCCACAGCCTGAGCCCACACAGACCTTTGGGAGCCCCTGCTGGGGGCTGGATTTGCTAACTGATGCAAGTTTAAAGTCAAGAGCTCTCTTTCATTCCACAAAAAAAAGTACTGTAGCCCAGGCCAGCCCCCAACAGTTTGCAGCATGACCCCCACAAGGATGCAAATCAGCACAGCCGAGGTGGCAAATAGGTGCCCGCTAACAGGATGGGGCAGGGAAGTCCCACAGTCCTGTCTAGCCTTCTGAATCCATGACCTTGTGAAATGGACCTTCTAACATCTATCAATCCTTGACTCTGCATCAGCTTTCCTTTCTGTACAGAACTGTTTCATTTTCTTTATATCACATGCTGCTGAAACTATTTTCCTTTCATAATTTTATGCCCCCTTTGTGCATGACCAATATAGTCTGAAACTATCTGGGACTGGGCAGCATGTTAAATGCATTTTCTGGCTTTATATATAAACTATCACTGCTTTATGATTTAATATCAGAGATACTCTGTTCTTCCACTCCACAAACAAGTACGTAGACAGTTTTTACACCTAATAAGTCAAATACTGACTAAGTGGCTAAGGACAAAATCAATGGATTTTACTGTAGAAACGTGCTAGAAACAGCAGCATACGAAATGATCACAAACTGGCATTTAGAAAGAAAGGTACAAAGTGGAGGTGTCTGAAATCAGAGACATGATGCTTGGGTGCAGGTAATCAGCCAACATGTTGTTAACCCCACAGGTACCTGTATTTTGACTTGGGCCAAAGGACCAAGTGCTGCCTGCCTAGGGACACTCATGAAGGTGGCATGGGACTGCTCAGCAATTTTTGTTTCAAACAACTTCTCCCTCCAAGCTGATATCCAACCCAAGTTTCACCAGTGCACCACTCTGTCCTGGTCCTCATGGTCCAGCTCAGATATTTCTCCACCAAAAAGCCCTGGGAGTTATAAACCAGGTTTTCAAAGGTAGGTAGATGCTAAAGACCAGGAGCTGTCTATCAGGATTTTGGATATACTAAAGCAGACAGGTGGGTGCTGTTAAATGGAAAACACTAACCATAGTGGAAATTTCATCAAATTCTGCTGGATGCCTCAATCCATTGGAGGTACTTAAATAGCTGTGACAGACTGTTGCTATTCACACACGAAATCTGCTGCAAAGCTGGGAACTGAGCCTTCCTCTCTGAAGTCCGGAGCAGAAGTGCAAACTGCACCACTCTACCTCTTGGGAGACTTGCCATCATAACACTCCTGATTATGAACAGGTCAGTCAATGAACAGTGGAAATCAACACTTTGGCTGACTTTTTTATATACACACACATATATATATACACACATAAACATATCAAACTGAGTTTTATATATCCATGATAGGGAAGTTAACATTTCTGCTGATAGTCTTTCACAAAGCATTTTCTGCTATTTCCCTTTCTTTGTCTCATATTAATCCACCTTGAGTAGCCAAGATAAATCTACCTCAGCAACTCTTCTGATACCTGCTTATTACAAAAGGCTAATGCAAACATTACCCTAAGAGCCTAGAGAGAACTGGCCAAGTCTCAAAGTGGCTGAGAAGGACACTGGTGGCATGCCAGTAATTTTCCTGCAGTCAATAAGACAAATTGTCTGGAGCAGTGCTTAGCTGCCCACATGCCTTGATTTGTCCTCTTCCTTTCATTAAAGAAAAAAAAATATTTAAAAATCACTCTACAAGAAAACCAAAGCAACCACTTCACACACAGCCAAAAAGAACCCATAGTGAAAAATTCCACAGCCAAAAATACTGAAAATAATTTCTTTGACTTCTCTGAAAAGCCACCATTCTGACCCACTCCTTGTCCAGTACAGGCCTCTAACATCATCTTCAGGACAATATGGGACACTACGAACAATGTTATCTGAAAGTTTACAAAACCAGAAGATAGAGACAGAAGCATTTTCAGTAGAAAATATAGGCTGTACCATATCTGTTTAATTACCTCGAATCTTAAATTTATTTTACAACTTTAACAATATGTTTATTATGTTTAATTCAACTGAATATAACGTAGTACATTACAGGAGAACTGTAAATAATGACCAAAGGCCAGATATAATATGTTGCAACTAAAGAATTACATTTGATTGTTTAATTATGAAATAACTATTTTTGTAATAATTAAACACGTGCTCCACAGTTGTCTTTAATAATAAAGTAATGAAAAAGAGGGAGGAAAAAACCTGTCATCTCCTGCATAAATTTAACTCAATTCCTGTTTTTCGTCACCTACTCTTTCTGATTAAACTACAGTGCAGCTTTCTGGCTTCACTTCACTGTGGAAACATAACTGGTTTTGAAGAGAAGCACAGCCACACACCTCCCTTTCTCTGTTCTCTCCTCTTTAATCTCTGCCTGGTTAGTTCACTGTCACCTTGAGCCTAAGGCCCTTTACAATACTTTAAAAAACATAAGATACTAAGTCAATTGCTATGGATATATACTAAGTAGAAATGCATTTTGAAATTCAAAGTAGAAGAGACAGCCATTGCAAGATGAAGGTAGCTGCTTTTATTTATTCAAACCCTTAATATATTCAAATTGTAGGCTATCTGGTTATTTTCTTGGAAAACATTACAATTTGTAATGAAGCATTATTGGGAAAAAAACCCTCAAATCAGCAACAAGTAATAAACAGGAATTTTTCAAAAACGTTTTTTGAGTTTATGATAATTTCTCCAAGTCATGATTGAGAATGCTATTTGATCAATCAAGTCATTAAGCTAAGTTTTAAAAATAAAATATGCCCAATACTAGAAAGAAAAAATATAAAAAAGGAGAAAGTAGTTTATTTCCCTTTTCTCCCTTATACAACAAAATATTTGTATTATTTCTGTTTCAGTATCTAATGACACATGGGAAGCTCCAATGTACATGAAAACCACACACATTCAAGAGGAGAAATAACAAGACTTCAATTTCTACTGCCAGGTACACGTTTATTCAACACACTCCAAAAACAGAAAGTATCTGGTATTATGTACTGATGCTTCTCTGGCAAGTTAAATGCTAATGATGCTTTTCATTCAGGCCACCCACAATGGTAACTGCATTTTGTGGCACTCATTACCTAACACAATTCATTTTTTTTCTGGCCAAGATTAATGCAGAGTTTGACATGAATTCTTAAGTAACTGTCAGGATGAAGCAGAAATTAATAAATCAAAGGTATTCAGGCTACAGTGAATGGATTGCTTTTCTTCTTTTTTTGGCTTAGGAAACATTTAACATATCTGTGCTCTCTCTTTGTGAGCCAATAACAAAACAAGTAAGGGTTTATTTAAGTCATTTTAAGTTGCTGAAGTGTATTTGCCAAATCAAGTATTTCCGGGCAGAGAAAATGTGCTGCCCATCTTCAGGCAGCTCTTCTGCTTCTGGGCTTTGCATCCCACAGCATCATTCCCGAGAGCCATTGGCTCCAGAAGGGCCATGCTGGGGAGCTGTGGACAGGTTCAGCTGGACCAAACACAAAGCCCTGTGGCTAATAAAACAAGGCAAAAGGACTGTTTCCTGAAGGAACTCTCCCTTATGGGGCTCTGGAATTAATAGTTCTTGAGGAACGGCTGAGGGAATTGGGGTTGTTTAGCCTGGAGAAAAGGTGGCTGAGGGGAGACCTCATTGCTCTCTCCAACTACCTGATAGGAGGATGTAGCCAGACAGGGTTTGGTCTCTTCCCCTTAGTAACAAGCAACAGGAAAAGAGAAAACAGCCCCAAGTTGTGTTGGGAAGGTTTAGATTGGATATTAGGAAAAAAACTTTTCACTGAAAGGGTTGCCAGGCATTTGCAAAGGTTACCCAGGGACGTGGTGGAGCCACCATCCCTGGAGGTATTTAAAAGATGTGTAGATGTGGTGCTTGGGGACATGGTTTAGTGGCAGACTTGACAGTGCTAGGTTAATGCTTGGATTTGGTGATCTTAAAGGTCTTTTCCAATAAAAACAATTCTATGATTCTCTGATATACTGAATCCCCCAAGCACTGCACCTTCCTTTATGGGTCACCCTGGGCTCCTCCTCACCCCAGCCTGCAAGAGGTGTCCATCTCCTAACAGCAGGAGAAACTGTGCTGTCAGAGAAGATAGAAAGCGAGTCTGCAGCAGGTGTCAGCTGCCTTCCCACATCTACACGTGGTGGCAGACAACAGAGATGTGAAGCTGTGATGAAGTCAGAGTGTTTTCTACACACTTCAGAAAAAGACCTGGAAGACCCTGTCCAAACTTTCCTCCTCTCCACAGTACTTGGCCATGAAAATACACTTCAGTTGGGATGCTTTTATGCAAATTTGCAACCTTTTTCAAAAGTAACAATCTGTTCATGGTGACAGAGGAAAAGAAAGACTTGAGCTCTGTAACAGTGGCTTTTGTAGAAGAAATGAACAGATTTTGCAGTCAGAAGATGCAAGTAGATTTTTCACCTTGTCCACAGACGGTGTAGATAAACCTAAAGATTTCTTGATTCTGCTATGGGAGATTCAGGGGTGATACTGAAAAAAAGTCCTCTCTTCTCCTAATTAACAGTCAGGCCCCATGGTGATGGGCTGCTGCTTGAATGGTTTGTCATTTTTTGACAGAGGCTCTAAAAAGTGGTATGTTTCTGTCACATTTTAGAAATGACTGTTTAATTCTTCATGCTTGGCAAGCACCAGAAGTCAGTTTTAGAAGTAATTAATTCAATTATTTGATTAGAATTCCAATTAAGGAGGCA